CAGCCAAAGAAATGTTGAAAGCTAAAGGTGTCACAGTTCCCATCTGATTATCTTTATATATCCAGCTGGTATTGAAGCATCCTGTGAAAAACTCTGGAATAGTGGTGGGAGCATAAACAGAGGTCTTCTGCAGTTGTGAAGAAAGACTTCATCAAAGGAGTCTGGATACATCCCACTGCTGCAAAGTTAAGGGCAACGTGAGTTATCCCCTGTGACAAAGAGATCAACAGAAAGAATCCTTCGGTGGGCAAAGATGTGCTGACTCACCATAGGGTATAGCATCCATTTGTAGTCCTGCCATCTTAATTGTGTGTATTTGCTAATATATAATTATAATCAGCTAAATGTCCCATTATAGGCATAATGCTTTGAGCTATATACCAGTCTCAGAAATGGATAGTTATTCAGAGCAAAGTTTTGGAACAGAAACTACATTGTTCACATAATGTACCATAGTCATAATGTTGGATTCAGCCTATTTGACCCAATAGTACACTGTATCTACACTTCTTTTCATATCCATTATCTCTACCCTACCCTTCCATTTTTGGAACCAGCTTCTCTCCAGGTTTCCAACAATGTAGGTGAGAGCAGTCCTCCACTATTTTATTTGGAAACAAAGAGGGGATTTATTTGTGTCATTCTGTATTAATAATACACTGAAATGACCTCAGTGGGATCTTTATCTTTAAATGCAGCAGGCCCATTCTCCTTATTAGAGTGTTCAGAAAATTAGGTATATTGTACTGGGCTTTTGTTGCTATTTGCCAGCTTCCCTGTATTTCTTAATTTCATTTCCCTTTCCCCTGAAGTAAAACACCTGGTTACCCAGCAGCTAGTAAGTTTCAGTTATCCACCATTTAGCTAGTAGCATACTCATGGCAAGTTCTGCCTCCTTTCTCTCCTTTTCTGTACTGTATCTTTCTACATGTTTCTTTATTTCAGCTCAGGAAATGCTCAAATGGGGAATGAGAGGAGGTACAGACAAACCAGTCAAAAGAATCCCAGGCAGACTCTCAAAGTCAGAACTACTCCATTTATGCTTCTGAATGTTTTTCACATTAATGAATTTTTTCACACTGGCTGGTGATATGCTAAAAGGGGATGGCAGCAACGTCAGAATATAAAAACAGTCAGCTTTCCTGAGAAGTGGATGGCTCACTTATAAACTAGGATAACACAATTCAGCAGTAACTCAGAATAGATACAACAGAGGCATGATTAGGAGTGGATAGGAGGACTGCAAATTTTGTGGTAACATTGTATGGTACTGCTCCAAGGATGGCCAGATGGAACTTCTGCTTAATAGTGAAGAAAGACCTCTAGTGGCATTTCGTGAAAGAATACATTGGCTTTGAAATATCAGACAGCCTCAGTGCTATTGCCATCCATCTAATGAAGTGTTTGCAATAATGATATAGGGAATGGCATGAGAATTTGAACCCATGCCTTAAAGTGTGGATTTCTGCTCAAAGGATAGAATAGTCTGCTGTGAGTCCGCTCCATGCTTACAAACTCTGAGAAATTACATCTGAAGGGGCATGTACTCAATCTGGCAAAGAGTACATCTGCCATGGTCACTGCCAGCGAAGAACTTCTCTACTGTCAGGAGCATGACCCTGATAGCACACGTAAAGAAGACAGTGCTGCATTTGTTGATCAAGAAGGAAGACCATTGACTTGATTGAGTCTAAACCATCTCCTCTGAGCTAGAGCTTTTCCTTGTTGATTCATAATAACAGCTTCCTGAGCAAACCCAGAGTAAATTGTGCCTCGCTGAGTACCTGCAGGAAGGATCAAACAAAGCCAATAATCAAATGCAGGCAAATATGAAAGATTAGCAGCTGAAAATGTGCAACTGCTACTGACACGTGATTTGTAAAAACCCCTTGGGACAGGGGATGATGCAGAACTAAAAGGAGTCATTGCCTAGTGCAAAGCAAAGGTTCTGTCCTGTAGGAAAACCGTGATATGCAGATGCACCTTTTAGATCTATGGCTACAAGCCAGTCCCACTGATGAAGTAATGGGAAGATATTCTGGAGTGCCCCTGAGTATGCTGAACTCTGGGATTTAGATGATTCTGTTGGAGGTTCAGTATGAGCACACACCTCTGCCTCTTTCAGGAAAGTGAAGTGGCAAGAATAAAACTTTTTGACTTTTCCAAGTAAGGTGCAGATTTAATTGCTCTTTTATGCAGCAAGGCTTAGCTAGTTTGCTGCCATGCTGGATATACGCTTACAAAATGGTATGCAACAGGATAAAAGCCCAAAGCATGGTGGGAACGGAGTGAGAAGTTGAAGCCCAGGGCTTATAGTTTCCAATATTCTCCCATGCCTTCCCTTTTCTCACTTCTCTCTCTTTTTAATGGAAAGCAAAATGAAAAAGCAAAATGATGAAGAGGAGAATCAATCTATGAAAAGAAGATGCAAAACTACTCTTGTCAGTATTGAACCAGACAGACACACAGAAAAAGTTCCTTAAGATGCAACTACTCTGGCAGTTGATGTTTTAAACTGCCTAAGAAAAGTACCAAAGGAAAGCCACAGTGATCTCTGTGGGACCAGGTGGAAGACAAGAACCACTTAGCAATAGCAGAAAACCAATACCTTAAGGTTGATGAATAACAGGAAGTAGCCTAGGTGAGTACATGTTTGTAATTAATGTAACTTTCCATCGAAAGAGGAAGTTTATACTCAGAGGCAAAATTTGTGAACACTGCATGCTGTGCTGGAGGAAACCATAACAAAAATATTATAAAAGCAGGATGGAATCACAAAGCTCACTGGAGGACTTCTGACCCAGATCATCCACCTTATTGCATGCCATCTTCTCCAGATCCCAGACCAGTGGCTGGCCAGCCTGGTTGTGTTACGTATGTTAGAAGGAATGTATGTGTGAATGAGGACTGTTACAGAAATCCGATACCTAATGCTGAACTTATAACATCTGTGATCTCATATTAACCACTGTGTAAGAGCTTGTCCATCCTGGTCCCGATCCCTAAGTACAGCTCCCCCTATGCTACAGCATAGATTGCAAGGTGCTCGAGTTTGACTCATAAATTTCCTGAATTCTGTAACATTGGAAAGAAACTAAGAGGAAAGCAGGTATCTTGTCTTAGAATGTGCACAGTGGGGGTGGACCCCCAATGGGTATGTGATCTCAGTTACAGAAAGTTTACGGTAAAACTTCCTCATAGGTACAGATCCTTTATGCGTGATGCACAGAAGACCCAATGAAGAGATAAGCTTCCTTGGTAAACAATCCAGTCCTAAAGCATAATGAGAAAATAACAAACAATTAACTAATTGATATCAGCTTTATTTTCGAAAAAGATAAACTTGGAAAAGGTATAAACAATCTTACAGTGCAGATTTCTTGTATGGGAGTAGATAATAATCAAAACCCCTGTTATCTGAGCAGACCAAGAATACCCCTAAAATATATGTGTTTTGACATCTCTTGTGTTATCTCTTCTCCTTTTTTTAATTAAAAAAGTAAATTAACTCTTTTGCATTGCAAGTACAGAATTGTTAAAAATCTAAAGGAATTTTGTATTGGTACCTCGCAGTTTGCACCAGAGATGCAACTGCTTTCACAACTGGGCAAAATATCTCTGTTAAGAGACTAACTTTTACTGGCCAAAGATTCCCATAAGTAGATGAAGCATTAGTATTTTGTTTTTTGGAAGCATCTACAAGGGATCTGAAGATGCTGTCTTTTAGTCCAACTTCTCTGCAATGAACTCTGTACATGTGCTAAATTCCAACTAGGTAGAAAAAAGTTAACTATATTAGATTTACTTTTTATTTTTTTTAATGTGGTGTCTTTCTTTTCCTGTTCCCTTGCCTGTCCCTTACACAATAGTCTTATTTGTATACATTACGTAGGTTCACTTTGCTGTACTAAGCAATGATGTTATTTATATAATTTTGACTTAGATGAAATATGTAAAGCAGGCCACTATGAGTTGATTACAAATCTCTTTCTCTCTCACACGCAAACAGTCCTAGCTTAGTATTAAGTTTGAATTCAGCTCCTGACATTTGGCTGCATCATTTAAAAAGTTTATGTAATTCTCCCAGCTTTCCTAATTTCTCTAACCCCTTAAAATAACCCATTTAACTCACAGTAGCAATCCACTTAAGGGCCCACTTTTTGGGTTCCTAGGATACATTGAATCCCAAGCTAGTCAACCACATTTTAGTCTAACAAGTTGTGAGAAACCAGCCTATGTGGTCAGTTTACAGTTCAGTGTGTATGGAAATCCAAAAAATTGGGTTGAGTAATTTATGTCTGGATTAATCACAGGTAAGCATGTTATGCAGATATTGACACTCTTAGCATCCTGTGTTGCATTAAGATATAACATGGTTTATTCGGCTTTAAATTAGTATATTTTTGAGCTCAGCAGTGATTGAGCCAATAATGGCTTAGCTTAATGTATAATATCTGTTATGACTGAGTTCACGTAGTATACTAAGCCACAATATAGCTTGTTTGATTTTAGTATAATGTGTTCACATTCAGCCATTGGTTTATGGCTCAGAAAACCAGACAACTGTTTATTGAATAAATCTTGATTAAACAAGCCATATAGGTTATACGATGCAAACCGGTCAGGTCTAAAATGCATTTATCACGCTTGAAGTAAGCTTCCAACAGTGGGATTTACTCCCAACTAAATATTCCTAAACCATGCATGACATTGACTAAAGAATAAGTGGTATATGGGTAAAATGTACCTCGAAGTTTATATTCATATACTGGATAATCGGCAGCATTGTCATGTACTAACGCCAAAAACCCTTGTGATGCAACTGGTCTGTTGCATAAATCCCAATCTAAAAACGCTAGCGCCATCCAGTACAGACGAAATATGTTGATAGGTAGACTCCACCCCTACAAGTGGGCGGGTGACACCCCCGCTTCATAGAACGTCAAATCCCCAGGAGCCAATGAAATGCAGCGTTGGACCCAGCTCCCGAACGTTAACAATACTGTAGTTCTCCGGCCGCACGTGATCGTGTTCGTCTCTAGCAGCCGCGGAACTAGGAAGCGGTTGGTTTCTTTGTCATCTTCCTCGCCCGCGGTGGCAGCTATGGGCTCTGCCACTCTGGTGGTGGTGGTGGTGGTGCTGCTGCTGCTGCCCGGCGTCTTGGTGGGCCTATGTGCCGGGGAGAGGCTTCTGCCTGGCCGACATTTGTTACTGCAAAGTGGTTTGGAAGAAATGGTTTTGGGAGGCCGACACCGCGCTTGGCCCTTGGAGCTGTTGGAACTGGAGGACCTGTCTTCGTCTGAATCGGGGTTCTTAGGGCTTCTGCTGGAGCCGCAGCTGGATCCGGAGTGCAAGGAGCTCTTGAGTGCCTTCGCCAATAGCAGCATGAGGTTTACTGGCTGCTTAATACGGAGCGCCCGGCCTGTGACGCTCTGCCAGAACTGCTATCACCAATTCCAGGAAGTCATGCAGCAGTTGAAGAATATCGAGGTGCGTGTACTTCTTTTCTTGAACATTGGGGTCAATGTTGGAAACTAATTCCAGCAAAGCTCCGGTGACTGTCCCAGGTCTGTCCCGCAAGTACTTCTGATAAAGCAATAGAAATTCTTGTGGTGCATTGTAACATTTGTATTAACTTTTGTGGATTGCAATTGCATTGAATGAAGCGGGCTCTACTAGTTTACGGTAATATATTGATTAGTCTCTATAAGGGGCCGCAAGGTTAGTTGCAGCTGCCTCAGTGAAACATGGTGGTCTTCTGGAAATTATAACTTGGTCTGTTTATATTGGAGCCCACAGTTAAATTCTCTTGAAATTTCAATGCTTGGGCTAACATACTGTGCCTTGTCTAAAAACAGTTCCCACAACTTCCATTTTTTATGGAAATTGTAGTGGTGAAGTACTTTTACCTGGGAGGCCTCCTCCCTTATTAATGTGGGATAAAACCTGGAGCCTGCTTTCTTTCTGCTTTGATGGGAGAGGGAACTGTCATGAAACAAAGTGAGAGCTACAGAAGGATATACACCCTACCTTGGAGTAGGGAGGTTCTTTCTGGGATGCAATCTAGATTTTTTTTTCTTGTTCTGACTCAGGATTGCTCATAAATGTCCCCATTGGGTGAATGACATACTTTGCAGCAAAGTGAATTAGTTGGGTTTATCTTTGATAAATAGATGAGCAGTATTCAGTTCATGCAGATTAAGGCATGGGTAGCCAGGAGTTTTTTTTCCTCCTCAGCAAGTGACAGCCTCTGACTGATCTGGAAAGATGAGCAGGGTTGGGCCTGCTTAGTAACCGGATGGGAGACCACTTCAGGAGACCAGGCTAAATTAGGAAGATGAAAAATACAATAGCCAATCCCTTCCTTATCATGCCAAACAACCTGTATGGATGTGCCTATATAAGTCGCCAGGAGCTTGATTCAAATGATAATTACTTTAGGCAAACTTTGAATTTGCCACTTTTCATATTGATGTAAAATATGCGTAGGCTTGCAATGACTTGTCCAGATATTTATTCCCTGCATTACAAATCCCAGACAGGCACAAAAAACCCAATGAATTACTGAATCCTTCATGGATCATCATGCATGGCTGCTGGGCTGCATTCAGCTTGGTGGCTACAATTTCTGCAAAATCAAAGAGAGGCAAGAAAAATCAATTGGCCTAAAGGCTTGACTGAATGTGAAAAAAAAAAAATCACATTGTCTCTTTAAGTTTAAATATACCAGTTATTGCTTTGCATCAGGAGGAACTTGAGAGAATTCATTGCTGCTGGAAAAACATAGAACTGATTCATTCCATCATATGATTTTTCATATATGGTAAAATCACAGTGATAGAAAATGTGGAAGAACTTATTAGAATGGAATATTCTCTTGCATTGCAGCCTGTGAATAAAGTCAGTTAAGTTGATGGAAATGCTTTTATTAATGCATCAAGGATGGCTCAATTTCTCCTCCACTTACAGACCTCAGATAGAGCCTTAACATCTGCCCTGGGATGAGGGAACTTTCTGGAACAGATTTGGGAACTGAGTGGGGGCTGTATGAGAGAAAAGGAGAAAATTCAGTTGTATGAGTGGGCTTCCACTTGGGCAATGATGAATTTTACCTCTTATTTTTTGCATCAGCCGAATGTATTTCCAGAACATTTATTTAATCGTTTATAGAAAAGTATTTCACTAAAATACTTGCAAAATACTTGCATGGATCTGATATCCAGGTTACAAGAACGTAGATTGCCTGATGACCATCCCCAGAAAAGACACTGTGAAGATTTAGGGATCCACCACTAAAAAAATGATATCTCAGATTGCCATCTGTATATATCTGAAGATAAAGACATCCAGCGGAGAGACTTAAAAGATGTTCTCAGCAACTGATTAGACTAGCACAGAAATTCTTTTGAGTTTTTTCATTTCCTGGTCAATTTAATTGGGAAAAATGCCGGGGGCATTTTATGCTATTTGTTTGGCTATTTTATGTGTGTCCTAATTTTATTAGGAAGATAACATTGTGTTTATCTGTATAAGTGAACTACATTACAATCCTATATTTACTCAGAAATAATTCTAACTCAGTGGGGCCTTCTCCTGATATATAGGGTTGAAGCTTTAAAATGCAATCCTGCAATTCCATAGATAATCTGTTCTTGATTGCTGGAACTGCTAACAAACTGTTTTTATATGAATATTTTCTCCTTTCAGAATACTACTAAAAGTAACCATTGCGTCAAAAGCCTCTTGATGTCAGACAGGCTACAGATGGTTGCACTTCTGTCCAAGTTTTTTAATGAGACGTGGATAAAAGCTAACTGTGCAAGTATGTGCTCCATTTGTCTACTTTCTTGCCTCTTTTTGTATTGTGAATATTCAACATGAATAGAAAAATAGGATATATTTTTCTCCTTTTTTTTTAGCTACTTGCAGGGGTAATATATAAAATCTTAATATGCATGCTTCTTCACCAGTTTTAGTTTCAACGTGAGAGATGATGGGTTCCAAGGCTAAATAATTGCTTCTTTGGTGTTCTCAGTTTCTACAAATCCTGATTGGGTTCATTGATTACACTATGCCATGGATTGTTTAATTAGGATTTACTGAAATGGGTCCACAGAACACATATAGCATGGCTTACAATCTACAACCGCTGAGTTTACACAACACACTAAGCTGAAGCCAACCAAACATTGCAGCAAAGCTGAAGTATTTTAGGGGCTTTAGCGAGGACCCAAGGATCTAATTTCTTGGGTGAGATTTGAGGAAGGGGCTGAGTGAAGAGATGCAGGTGAACTGAGAAGATGGCTGTCCACCATGCTTGTAGGTTAAGTCTGAAAAGCCTGTGTTTCTGTGGTAGAATGGTGATTCTTTTTTAATCAGGTGTATAGTATGTGCTAGATTAGTCATAGCTATAATGCTTTTATCATTGTTACATGGACTGATCAATATTTTTGTCATGTATTTATGCAGTGACAGTGTATTTCTGAATTGCTACCTTGCTTTCTGTTCATTGAAATAGGAAGGGAAATTACAAATAAGTGATATTTAGGAAATATCTAAAATAATGTGCTGTTCACCATTTTTTAAAAACCATAATCTTGCATCATATGTGTGTGTATATAGATAGAGAGTGTTTTAAACAAATGTTTTGATAAACCTGTGGGCATGTATATGCATTTTACTGATGTTTTATATGGTATGTTTGCCACCCAGAGTTTTGTTGGAATGATGGGTGGCCCTACAAATTTGATAAACAAATAGGATGACTATGAGTTGGGCAGCCATATAAACCATTTAAAATGAATGTATTATAATCAGCAACAATATCTGTAAGCAACTTGTTCATAAATTGCAAGTTGAATTAATTTCATGAAGCTTGACTATTTCTTGGCTCTTAATGCACCAGTTGTGTCAATATATATGGACCTGCTCTAGAAATTCAGTGTTACAGAGGAAATAGTGGTATCAGAGATAATACATTTTATCTGATACATACATGTAAATAGCTGTGTACAAAAGTTACCAGACATTACAGATCTTGCTATTTCAATTTATCAGTTACACAGACTGTTGTGTAGCTGCACAATTGACTTATGGAATTGATGCATATGATCCTTATTTATTTTAATTTCTAAGGCCGCTCAATGCCATAACGATTTGAAAAATGGTTCAAAACAATATAACAGGAAGGAATGATGAATGTCTGGAGAAACAATAAAATCCACAACCTGAATTCAAAACGTGCCCATAAGAGGCCCACCACGTACTCTAGCCCAAGACCTGGGGAAAGAGCCAGCTCTTGAGGGCCCTTTTAAACAGGATCAGGTAGCAGCCATTCAGATCACTATGGGAGATACTGTTCCAAAGGGCAAGCACTGCAACAGCATATTTGTGTATGAATGTCCCTTTGGACATCGTGTGTAAATGCCTTCCTAGAACCCCAGATTGTTCGGTTTGTCTCAGCCCTTTATTTTATTGTTGTGGGGTATAACAACAGAATCTTGAAAGCCTGCCAGAGTTTTCCTCTGCCCCTCTTATACCATAAAGAATCAAGGTGGGGTTATTTTGAGTCTCGTTCTCATGCTCCCATCTTTCATTGGATTATGTTATTGTTTACATTCTGTCTTACCTTTTAAGGATTCTGCTAACTGTTCTTGCATTCCTTCATCATCTTTATCTCTGCATTCCTCTACAATGTGTGCTCTTCAGTGTACTTTGACATGGAAACCGATTTGGAAATCATCTTGAATGCATGAAGGAATAGGATATATATATCTGTGTTTAGATAAATTTAAATCTATGGCTAATTTTATCAAGCAAACATCCTGCTTTTTTTGCTTGTACTTAACACAGACCTGTAATGCTAAATTATAGTGCAGTGGTGTATTGTGACAAGAATGAACAGTAGTGATGCATGGCTTGGCACAGCTGAAGGGAAAGTTCAGAAGCCATGTTTAATATTGAACTAACTGTAGTTAATCCTAACTGTAGCTAGCAGTTGCCCTTTTTCCAGAAATCATAGTTAAGATTAACCTCTATTTAGGAACTGGGCTAAAAGATATGAACTTCATATCTTTTGTAACAAAAGATAAAAATATACAGCCACCATAGTGGTACTGATGAAAAAGAGGAGAGAGAATAGCATCCAGGTACAAGGCTTGCTGTAGTGTCTTCATGTTTATTTATTTAGATTTATACCTTCCCTACCACCACATAGTCAGTGTTATTCAGGAACATTTTTTAAGGAAGCCATATGTTGAAACAGTTATTTTGTTATGTGAAAGAATAACTTTTTTTAATGAACATAATTTTTGGAGATGCCTTAAATGATAATTACCTTAAGTCAGTAGTGGACAACTTGGTGTTCCTCAGATGTCTGAGTGTGACTCCCAAAGTCTCTTGCTGTTAGTTATGCCAAATGAGGCTGACGAGATTTGGATATGAAACATCTGGCATTTTACCCCTTATTCCCCCCCCCCTTTGCTCTTCTTTACGCAGTATTTCTTTATGGTATCAGGTGAAGCAACTCTTGGGTTCCTCAAAATCTCCTGCTTATGAGCTCAGTTTCAAATTTTATCCAGTTAATTGGGTAATCTCAAATGGTACAAGGACTACTGGTTAATGCATTAAAAGAGAAAATATGGATCATAGGACAGAAGTCTGACACCGTTATGTACCTTGCTAAGCCTATCCTTCTATGTCCTCTTTGTCGCTCCTCCTTAAATCTCCTCCTCCTTCTCAATCTTACTGCTGCCTCTGATTCAGCTGAGGCTCTCTCCTCCCCTATTTTCCTTTGTGCCTGAGCTTCTGCGATCCTAACCTCAACAAGAAATTGTCCCGCATGCTTAATCCACTCTTACATTATGTAAAAGGATTCACATTATGTGTCTGGTGAAAGGTGGTCTGTTTGATTATGGCTTAGTGTGTTATGCATGCAGACATTGTGGATTTTATAATCCATGAATTAAACAAATCATGGCTTAATGTGATGTGTAAACCTAACCTGTATTTTTTCCCCTTGGGGAGTCTATTATTTCCTGTGCTTGTTAGCATCATTTATTTTGTGGTGATACACATTCCAGTCCCCCTGCCCGTTTGGAAATTGAAAGCTCTGATAATCTGGGTGCCTCTTCCTTTCCAGTTCAGACGTTTTCCCCTCTAAGCTGCCTTTTCATTCATTGCTGTTACTCACTGATAACACCAACACCACCTGTTGAGCACAGGAAGCCTTCATTTTTCCTTTCCTTTTTCTCCTTTTCTGTCTGTTGCCAAATTATGATACTTTTTTCTATTAAAAAAAAAACCTTTTCATTCAGGGAAAAAGTTTGGTTTTTTTAATAATAGAAAAAAGTATTCTATTCCAGTGAAAACTGTTGTCTGTGTCCTGGTCTTTTTTTTTTTTCTTCAGTTGTATCCCCATGTTCATTTAAAACCATCTAGTACCCTGCTACATTATTTTTTTCATCTTTCTGATTAGTCACTCCACAATTTGCTTCATTTTACTGTTTTTCTGTTCCCTAAAATAACTTCTCTCATATTCTCTTGCTTCCTGTTATGTCTGGAATAGCCCCCCCAGACCACGCCCCTTATTCCCACTAAGTTTATTTTCAAAACTCAGAATTTCTGCCATTTCCCCTAGCCCTTTTATCCTGCTGCCAGACTGAGCATCTTGTTACTTAATTTGGCAGAATTTGGCAACAAACTGTTGCCTTACAAAGCTTATAAGAGTTTACAACAGCTTGATTTGGGAAGGGATGCCCATTTTTTGGCCTAAGGTCCTGGCTTGCCACCAGAAGACCAACCTGGCTTCTCGTTTTTCCTTTTTCCCCTCGACTTTCCTCCTAGCAATCTATTTTGGATTGCTTGCTCCTTAGGCAGGGATGGACAGCATTGTGGTGAAAGGAAGAGTGCACTTAATGGGGAAGGGCATGGAAGAACTACAGCAGGAAGGGTTTGTTACAAAATAGGATTGTTCCAGGTGCTTGGGCAGGGAGGATATTTTCCAGAATTCTTTTTCTAGGATCTTTTTCCCCCCTTCAGTTCTTGAAGTGTGTGGGGTCTGTTTTAGGCCCCCACTTTTTCGTGCGTTTTTTGCTTCACGGAATTTCAGCAGCCTAGCTAGGGAGAACTGTAAAAAGAAGGGAGAGGGAACTGCACGTGATCCTGTAGTGCCACTGATTGTGCGTGTCTTAGGATAGCACTGGTCATACCTGTTCATTGCAGGTTCATAGATTATACTGTGTTATTTATGCTCCTGTAAATTTGAAAGCAGAATAACTATCTGAAAAATAAATAAGCCTTGATCTAAAACAGCCTTTTGGAAGTAGATACTGAAGGTTTATTGATGCTTTTGACTCTTCTTTCATAGACTGTTTAAAGGACAACAACGAAGGCCTATCAGCTGGTACAGTGACGTTCCTGGCCTTATATAATGAATCAATGGCATGCTTCAAACAGAACCTCCAGGTACTTAATATTGTTTATTAAGGGTGCAGTTGAGCCCTCTAATTGTATAGTGAATTTCCCCCTTTTTTTTCAGAGCAAGACGCTGCAAATATAATTTACCAACTCTTATGCAGTTTAAGCAGGTAGAACAATTATCTTTAAAATGCAGGTGTTCACAACTGAGAGAACAAAATGCATTCTAATTAATGTTCACCTCCATTTCATATGCAATTATGGTGCTGTTTTGGTCTCACAATAGTTGATAATTATATAGGAAGAGTCGTATAATCTCTGCATATAGTAAATCACTTTTTTTCATTATTCTAGGCCTTGTCACCTCCTGATTTAACTATATGGGTCTTCTGGTATTTTGTTATAGTATGAGTTTAGTCGTAGATGCCTAGCTATTTAAAAAGTTGGTTTTTCACATACAGTATCTGCTATTAAAATCTTTCTAAATCTAGGATCACTATAAAGTTGGAAAGATATGACCATCTTCTAGGATATGATCCAACTGTGTTCAGAACTATTATGCTTTTATTATTCTAAACTTCAGGCCTGTACATCCCATACCTTAATTTATATCATCAGAGTGTTTATTGTTATGAAGGATGACAGTAAAATTATAGCCAGAAGCTTAAAATAGCAACCTTGGTTATTTTAGGGTCACTTTAGAAATCCAGTTCATTTGCAATTTGCAAAATATCTATCGCTGCTCAGCTTGTTTAGAATGTTTTGAATGAGGATCATATTCCTACAACTCTGCTGCTTGGCAGTACAACCAAACTATATATAATCACTGAACTCTTTTGAAGAAGAAAATGCCAAGCTCAGTATTTACAATTTTACATTTAGTTTAAATATTGAAAAGCAGCCTTGTATTTTTGGATTCAATCAATTATTTTGAATTTGTACATCTCTTTTCTTTTTCTCTTTTTATTGTGATGTAATGTGAACATTTTATTTATCAGCAAAAGTGAACTCTTTGTTGGAAAAAACTTTTACTATTATCTAGAAAAGTTGAGTGTCCTATGAACTATTAGAGAAGGTAAAATAGAAGAAGAAATGTTAGACCCAGTGGGGGTTGCATAAGATTTTTTTTTTATCTTGTTACTGAAGAATAAATGGAACATTGGGTGGAGTCAGAGTGAATGATGAGAGAAGTTGTCAGCTGAGAAGATCCTGTATTACAGCAAAAGAGAGAAAAAGAGTTAATGGGTCAGGTATAGGAGGAGAAAAAATGGAATTGCATGTAGAAGCCTCCCTGCCCCCCATGTTCCTTTCTCTGTGGAGAAAAAATCAGTCCTATACATATCTGCAGGAGGCTTCTCAGTGTAATCTGCTGAAGCTGCTTAAAAACCTCATTGTGATTGGGCACTTGTAGCTTCAGGAGTGTGTGCAAAGCTTTAAGTGCCTTCAGCTGAATGAGTATAGAGGCCCCTTCAGATCTTTACACTGAGATGCAACAATTTGATGTTCTCTCTATGGGGATAAGGAAATAAGGCTTGTGTTTGTGATCACTGCCTACTTTGAACATTTATTTCAAACACCAGGGTGAAGTTACTCAGCCTTCCATAATCAAGTATATTCTATGGATATGTTGGAAATTCCCGGATAATTTGGTTTTTTGCTCATTTATTTCAATTTACATGACTGCCCATCTCAAATTCATGACTAACAAAAATTAAAAACTCTATAAAAATGATATAAAAACCATACAAGTACAATTAGTAACTGAGGTACAAAACCCACCAACAGCAATTAACACAGCCACTGTATGGGCTCTACTACGTATCTGGATCCCCAAGCCCAGTGACAGAACTGTGTCTTTAAATGTGATAGAATGTGAAGGTGGCCTTGGAAGGTGGGGGGAGGAGATGCCACCTAGGGAACAATCAGATAAAAGAGAAAGGAGTCCACAACAGGGTAACGGTCAAAGAAAGAAACTTAGGAAAGGCCTGCCATAACTACTCAGGTGGTAAATAGGGAGGGTGGGAGATTTGTGCTTTCAGACTAGCAAGATTGATGTCAGCCCTCCTAGGTAAACCAGACGGGAAACAAGACTAGATGAAGTAATTCTACTTTAGCATAAGGGTACTTACACTACTTACCCTGTTCCAGACTCCTTTCTCTTTTACCTGATCGTTCCCTGGGCAGCATCTCTTTCCCGCGTCTTCCAAGGCCACCCTCACATTCCATCATATCAAGGCCTTACAAAAAGCCCATAGGGTTGGGACCAATCCAGTCTCCAGGGGGATGATATTCCAAAGGGCTGGAACTATGAAGGAAAAGCTTTCTTCTTGGACCCTGCCAGATGACATTGCCTGGCAGGTGGGACCAGGAGCATGCCTCTCCAGCTGGACCTCGTGGGATGGATAGACATAATCAGGAAGAGGCAGTCCCTCAAATAATTCAATCCAATGCCATGAAGGTCTTTATAGGTCATTACCAGCACCTTGAATTGAACCCAGACACATACTGCTTAGGCAGGGAAGTTGTTATGCAGCAGTAGCCACAGTACCAGCTCATCCTTAGAGCCCAACCTAAGAACAGATCTTGCATCTGATAGTCAGTAGAGCAGCTACCAGAGATTCTTGGATAACGATTGCCACTCCCCCACCCCTGCCCTGGTGTTTCGGCTGATGCCACACGCAGAACCCAGCCAGGCACAACTCCGAGAGGGGACCAAGTCCCTGCTTCATCTGTAAAGCCTTCCTGTTAGCTATTAATTTGGGGGGGGGGACCCTTGCTCTTACTAGAAAACTGCCAGGCAAGAATGGGTAACCTTGTAATGCTGTTGTTGACTTTTCAAGATTGTGTATATTTAAATATATCCTAACATCTCCTCTGTACAATATTTATAATCTCATCCTTGATAATAAGGTGGTACCTTTCTGCTCGTGTTTGTCTCTTTCTTCTGTTTTTCATTGTTGATCAGATATCAAATGTTAAAATGTGTTGTGGTGGTGGGTTCTGCTATACCAAAACAAAGTACTGATTGTTGATGTACAGTCATTAGCATAACTGCTTTGCATTGATGTTAGAACAGTCAGGAGCTATTGAATAATGAGTGTTGTCAGCAGGAGGTAAATGAAAAGAATAGCGGAAGTTGGACAGGAATGGATATACTGACAGCTTGAAAACATATTAATTATTTTCACCCAACGTTCTGCTTACTGGATTTTTGGCAGCATGTATCTTTTACATCACATTCTGCAATTTCCTCTTAACTCGTATGTTTTAAGTTGCCATATAAGACAACTTCGTATGATGGATGAGTTTCCCATGCCTGCTTATATTAATTATGCAGTGTGACAACTTGCCCCTCCTTAACTATTAACTTCATGTATCTGTTAGTTTTAGAAGAAGAGGCAATCATTAGTCCAGGAGTATGTGTGTGTGCCTTTGAGTCAGTGTTGACTCCTGATGACTGCCTGGACTAGTCCCTGCAGTTTTCTTGGCAAGGTTTCAGAAGTGGTTTGCCATTGCCTGCTTCTGTGGGCTGAGAGAGAGGAACTGGCCCAAGGTCACCCAGCTGGCTTTGTGCCTCGGTGGGACTAGAACTCATGGTTTCCTGGTTTCTAGCCTGGTAACTTAACCACTAGACCACACTGGCTCCCTTAGTCCAGGAGAGTTTCGTATAAAAGATGGCTATTACGTCAGTAGAATAACATGAATAGGAATGATATGAATATTTACTGAGATTGACTGGAACTTTCAGCTGAGATCCTGGGACTGAATAATCTCAGCTGCAGGTGAACTTTTGCTCAGATTTCCTCTGTAAAATATTTATTAATAACATATCATAAATAATCACTAAACTAGGGGGCTCAAGGAACCCACCCAGAATATAAATCTTTATTGTATTATTCAGAGTATTTCTGTAATAGGTGTAACAGAGGAAAATAGGTATTTCCATTTACCTTGCAACTGTTTGAAAACTGTGGCAGCCTTTTGCACTTGGATTATGTTTCAAACTCAACTTGAATTTCTAATCCATTAGTTTTAAAAATAATTTCTTGTTTATATTGTATGGCCAGGAAGGCAACCAGCTACCAAGTAACTACTCAGGTGTCTGCAAAAACTGCAACGCAACATATAAAAACTTGAGTTCCCACTTTAGTGAGATGCAGAGGCAGGGGCAGCATGAGGAATCTGGAGAACAGTTCCATTTGTGCATTGATGTAGAGGATGCAGTAAGTTTTATTTTCTGTTTTGCTTCCCTTATACTATTTACTGTCCTCTCTGAAGGATTGTAGTTAATCAGTTGTTTTAAATATTTATTTATTTATTTATTTATTAGATGTACGTTTATATAGCATCTCAGTATAGTGTCTCAAGTTGGCTTTTGTCCAGTTTAGTTATTTCATTATTACTAATCCCATAAGAATGGGAAACTGCAGTTAAAATCCCAGTGCAATAAAACAGAATATAAAAATAAAATTGATAAAGCCATAGCATGGTATTCTTGTCTTTGGTTCCTTTTGGGAATATATACCCTTTTTAATAATACCACAATAAGGGTAATTCCTGACAAATGAAGCATTTTAATGTACTCTGCTAATCTGTATAGGAATTGGAAACAATTTTATGGCACATAATCAATCAAATCTATATACATATTGGTAACAATCTGAACAAACCCAATTCAAGCATTTTAGCACTTTCCGATGCTAAATTGCTAAGAACCCACCGGTATTTCATCTTACTATAAAAACATCTTTTTCTGGCCTCCAATTCTGTAGTTTCAGCACTTAAGCCTCCAGCCTTTGTTTACAGGTAGTCCTCGACTTATGACTATTTGTTCAGTGACCATTCGAAGTTAGGGTGGCGCTGAACAAAGGGACTTATGACTGGTCCCCAAAGTTAACAGCTGTTGCAGCAGCCCTGTGGTCATGTGATCAAAATTTGGGTGCTTGGCAACCCACCTGCCCTTATGACTGCTTAAACTTCCCCCACCTGCCTATCTACCCCCCCATCTATGCCCTTTTTGCCCCCTGCACTCCGCAGTCCCTTCCGCCCTAACTGACCTTCATTCTCTTCTTGCTCCCACTGCTGACTGCATGAGGCTTTCTTTCCCAGATCATGCATGGTGATTTCCTCCTGGGGAAGATGGCCTCACATGGCCAGCAGCTACCTTGTGAAGGGCGAGGCTGGGCATGCATCAGCAGCAGTGGGAGCAAGAAGCCCCTTTGTGCTGTGCTGTTGCGGCATGCCGCTGGCAAGCAGGGCAACCAAAAAGGCAGAGGGTGCAGGGTGACCAAAAGGCCAGATTTGGGGGGAATAGGCAGTTGTGGGCAGTTGAAGAGGAGGCAGTCTCTTACCTTGGAAGAACTGAGGCTCGGGGCTGGGAGGAATCAAGCCTGGAATGGCTTGGATTGGGTTAGAATTGTGGAATTTAGTTAATGACGGAAACAGGGAGTGCTGGGATTGCTGTCACTAAGTGATGTGGTCATGTGATGTCATGCTTTACGACCACATCACTTAGTGATGGAAATTCCGGTTCCAATTGTGGCTGTAAATCAAGGACTACATGTATCTCACTGGCTGATATCTCAAGGACCAATTGGCAGGAATGTCTTTTGCCCAAACTGTGATGGATCAGCAGTGATGAGTCACACTGCTAAGTGTAGGCTTAGGTTCCATGAACCACTTTCATTAACCTTCTATTGTACCTCTGTGGACTTTCTTCTGACATTTTCTTAATATGGATCCAGTGAATGGTTTTCATTTGGTTTTGTTTTAAAACCTTTCTTAAAGACACATAAATTTGGCATCTTCTATATAGTATCCAAATAAATAGATGCTCTTATTACTGTATGAAATGATTGAATTGTGGTTAATGGAAATTCAAATGCTGAATCATCAAGAATACCTTAATATAGCACTTGGCTGCTACATTTAAACCTTTTCAGGTTGGACATTTTAAAATATATCTGAAATCTCATGAGATTGCTAAATTTGCAAATACCATTAAGGATGACCTGATGATTGTAAACACCATATTGCACCTTATTCAAGGAAGCAGGATCTTGGCTAGTTAGCACTCAAGTTAACTGTACCTAGTAAAAGCTAGACATACAGTACTGATGCTAAACTTCAATGCTAAACTTTTTGGCATTTATCCAGATGTTGATGATTCCTCAGATCTCTTAATCTTCTTGGTATTTTTTACAATTATGTCCTTCTAGATGAACATCACACAAAGACTGTGGAGCACAACTTTCAATTGTTCTGTCCCCTGCACAGATACAGTGCCAGTCATAGCAGTTTCTTTATTCATTTTCTTTCTACCACTTGTTTTCTACCTGAGTACCTTCCTTCACTCAAAGCAGAAAAAACGCGTTCTGATTCTGGGTAAGCAAAATCTTTATCGTTTGATATGGTTCCTGTTTGGTTGGAAATAAAAAGTTTATAATGCATCTATTTCAAGTGGTATATGCACTTAGGTGGCATGACACCCAATGTTGGGTCCTTTGGTATTTGGGGCTCTGATAAGAATAATCTGGGTTGGAAGTTGATAATGCATCTTTTGATTCTGTCACATTGCTGCACTTGATAAACAGTTTTAACAGTCTTTATTAAGCCCTCCTGAGTCAAAGGACTGGGGCTATGATGGTAAGTCAGATGGAAGGAATCAGACAATGGGATGATTTTCTCCTATCTTTTTTTTTAAGGTGGTAAGGATAAGGGGCTTAGTGTCTGTAGTTAGCTCCATCTGAACAATGGCCTCAGCATATTGTTGAACACCTGTTAATTAGCAACATCATATTCAGTGTTCTAGTCAACCAGTTCACTTACAAAACTATTTGGGTACAGTGATTTAAATAAATGGTGTGGACCTGATCTAGTTGAAATTACTTGAGTTTACACATTACACTAAAGCAAAAGCAAATTGCATCATGGCTCAGTGATTTTACTCACATGGTAATTTTACATAATAGGTTATGGTTCAATAGCCAGGTGAGGTTTATTTAACAAAAAATACAGAAACACAGTGCGTAAACCAGATTGTTATGGATGACTCTGGGTGAACACTCATAAAACCAAGTAAAACCAAGTACAAACACAATACAAAAATAAATATATATAGCAAGTGAGAAAATCATAACCATAGATGTTAATATAATCAGGAAATGGGCCCTTAACACACTCGGGGGCCCAGGCCTGGGCACATAACTAGGTCTCCAAGGCCTTATGAAAGGCCAACAAGGTTAGGGTCATCCTAATCTCTGGAGGGAGAATGTTCCAGAGGGCAGGCGCTATGGCAGGAAAGACATGCCTCCTAGTTCCTGCCAGCCGACATTCCTTGGCTGACGGGACCTAGAGCATGCCCCTCCTGCCAGACCGGATTGGACGGGTTTGTTCCACTGTCAGCAGTTCTTTCTGCAGCTCACTTCTCTACAGGTTCCAAAACTTAAAATCAATCTGTGTTTCTAAGTAACTAATTTTCTTGCATTGTTGTCTATAATATCAAAAGCTATGAAATCAGAATAGCTTGAACTAAAGGCAGAGAGACAAGCCATGGTATCTGGTACTTAGTTGAAACTTAGAGTGATGCAAAGGACTTAGATCAGGGCCTATGCTGAAGGATAGAAGATAACCCTCAAGAAGCCACATGCTCTGGCCCTCAAGTAGCCTCTCTTCATAGCATGGCCAAGTTATATAGGAAAAACTGTCTCGTATAATTCTACTGCATATGTTGACTGCTCTGGTATGCAGGAATAATTCAAGAGTTCACTTGATAAAAATAAACAAATAAATGTGTTACTCAGATAAAATAGAGGTCCACCTTGTCATTTGAAAAAAGGGATTCAGTCTTCATTTGAGCATGGATAACAGTCTTCTCAAAGTTTCAGATTTGTAATTTTTGTATATTCCTGGGTTCATTTCTTGAGTGCGAGTTCTCAAGTTTTGATAGTGGCTGAGAGTGCATTTGTTCCTGGAGATTACACCAGATCACAATGGCACAGGCCTTAATTATATTCTGTTTGGAGTATCATAATGCATTCTACATAGCACTGCTTACTGGAAGATGCTTGGAAACTTTGGGTGGTTCATAACACTGACCAGATCACTAACTAGGGACTGTAATTGAAAGCATGTGATAGCCTTGTTAATACCAGCTGCTTGTCTGTTTATGGCACACTTCGGAGTGATGGCTATGATCTATAAAGCCTCGCATGATTTGAGGTCTGACTATATGAAAGACTACATTCCTCCCTTTGAACCTGTCCAAACTTTAAGATCTGTTGGAAAAACTCTTCTCTCTCTCCTGCCATTATTTGGGAGAGAGGAAAATGAGGAAAGGCCTTCTGAGTGGATTCTCACATGCTTTGAACCTCTTTGCACTGATTGGCCAGACTCTTTCTTTCTCTCTACAAATAAACAAAGATACTCTGTTTAAATCAACATTTGATCTTCTGGTTGATTTGTCTACTCAAGTGACTATAAATTGGGACTTTTTTCCATTATCACTAGTTTTGATATGCACAGTGGAAAGGATGATGTCATGTATCATGATGCCATTGAACAAATGATGCAAATTTCATAATTTGTCATTCATTCAATGACATCATAACACACATACTATCACTATGACTTGTTCTAGATGCTTCGCCATATTAATTCAATGCTGTTTTTGCAGACTTGGATTTCTTGCATGAATATGCTGTCAACTACTGTTTTTGTGCAATTTTAAGCTCTTTTTCTCTTTCTAGGTAAGCGAATCCACTCAAATGCCAGTTTTGCGAACATCCAAGATAAATCCAGCTGAGCCTTTGGAATGCAATGGGATTATTTGATTACTCTAAAGACAATTATAATTTAACTTTGCACTATATTGTAACATGTTAAATAAAAGATGGTATGTCTCAGGTGCATGCACTATTGTGCAGCCATACAGAACTCAGTAAGATGATATGACCTCCAGAAAAGAAGTTAAAACTACATTCCCTCTTTCATCTTTCTTGATCTTTTGTCTCACTTCCTGATTGGTAAAATTTTAAGTAGGCAGTCCTAATTTTTATATCTTGTATAATGAATTGATAATATTAACTTCCATATATGATGAGCTAACATAAACATTCCATTCTGATTCTTACATGAATGCTGACTTTTTAAAAAGTTGTCATTATTGAAAAATGAAAAATGAATGCAATGGATAATATTCTTTATCAGCGGACGGATCTTGGATCTTAATCTTTGGTCTATATTGCTATTTAAAATGCTGTTTGGCTCATAGAAATAACCTCTGCATTTTATAGTACTGTATTGCTGGTAACAGCATAACTACTGATTGTTGGAATTATAATAATTACATAGTTTGACTTAGGGAGAAATGTCATGTCTTGAAATTTCTAGTGTTGTATGGTCGAATAAGCTCTTATCTGTGTGGCTGGTTAAAAGTAAGATTATACTAACTGAAATACTGTTACCTAACTTGATTATTCTCTATCCCTAAAATTATTTTTTATAAAGTGGCTTGATATTTAAGGGTACATAGTATATTTATTAGAATTTACAGACAATATTTTCTTGCATTTGTATATATTGCCTTGGAACAATTACCCAAAACAAAACTAACAAATGAAAAAGCTGAATTGCTTAGACTGTAAAGTGGGATTAAGATAATGGAAAGGATTAACATATACATTATAGGGAAAAGTGTGATTTATTTACTTTTTTTGGTAGAATAATTTCTTAGTATTTAAATAACAAAAGATACACATAGATTTGTCTATCATTTTATTAACAGACAAAAATGCTTAGAAGCAAATCACAGGCTTTTGTCTGTGTTTGCAGTGGAACTTAGTGGTTTAAACAAAAGTACATTTAGAGAAATACTGCACGTTTCTCCCTCTGCAGGTGGAGAAGGAGCTGCTAGAATTGTGCTCTCTTAAATAGTGGTGGAATAGTCCTTAGCTCAGTGTTGTCCAAACTTGGCCACTTTAAGATGAGTGGACTTCAACTCCCAGAATTCCCCAGCCAGCCATCTGGGAATTGAACTCCACTCATCTTAAAGTGGCCAAGTTTGGACAACGCTGCCTTAGCTGAAGTTGCCTTGCCAGCTGTGCTTTGCAGCCAGTTGTAATAAAAAGGAAAGCATTCTGGGGTAAGGTCAAGGGTGTCACTGGGGAAGATTTGGCTGGGGTCATGCATCATATTGAGCTGTGATCTCTTTAAATAATAGTTTGCTCAAGGAACCAAAATTGACTTGGTTTACACAACACAGTAAGCAGGGTGAAGAATCCAGTCCCTCATTATACCATTTGAGGATCGGCTAACATTTTTGGAACCTTTTTTTTTCATTTTAGGAGGGATCAAGGCCATCCTTAAAAAACTCTAACTGCCCTCTGTTAGGCCAATGTTTCCATTTTGGGTGAATGAGCCTTCTCATTCTTGGATCTTGGTGCTGGAATGAAGAGGTTCTGAAGCTAGTGTAGTTATTATCCTTCCCATTAGATCTAATGAAAGACAAGGTTAAAAGTAAGTTAAACAAAAAAAGAAAATTTCCCTGTTTCTTCCCCCATGTCTGTTTATTTAAACCAGAGCTAAAACAACATAAGAATAATTTGCCTATGGATTATGCAGTATATCTAGACCAGTGTTTCTCAACCTTGGGAACTTTAAGATGTGTGGACTTCAACTCCCAGAATCCCCCAGCCAGCATGTTGGTCCACACATCTTAAAGTTCCCAAGGTTGAGAAAGAGCATCTTGCAACAGCTTTTGCCCACTTGGGCAGAAATTATGCAGTATATCTAGACCAGTGTTTCTCAACCTTGGGAACTTTAAGATGTGTGGACTTCAACTCCCAGAATTCCCCAGCCAGCATGTTGGTCCACACATCTTAAAGTTCCCAAGGTTGAGAAACACTGATCTAGACACTTGTGTTTAGGACTTTGCCTAAAGATGGAATTATAAACTAGGACAAACAACTGGCTATATTTGTATTTAACTTTGCTATTGAAGATAAGCTGGGAATAAAGTGCTTTGCTTTGCTGTTCTTTGTGCTGCCATGTTAATCAGCTATCCTAATAGTAAACAGTGGGAGTTTCTCTTGGCTGCGAGAGAAAAGAGACACTAAAGTCTCTCCTGAATAAGAGAACATGGGCAAAGCTGACTCAGCCTCCTCAAATACTGGATTGCATCACTCACAGTTCCTATCTAAAGGCCAAGAGCTGTCTCAGCTGGGGATCATAGGCAATGACATCCTGCATTTCTGGAAGGAAGGTTATTTAAATCAGTTATTTCTGCCCAAGTGGGCAAAAGCTGTTGCAAGATGCTCCTAAATAGTTTGCAGAATCTCTTCTTTAGCTTGGTGGAATCAGCAATAGATTACTGTTGGAAAAATAAGTCATTTAATACCAACCAGCTACTAATGAATGAAAAATGCATGTGGGGGGAATATATCTAACTATGAAATATCATTGTATGTATATATATTAATCCTAAAACTATGTTTTTCCATTCTGAGTCACAATTGGCCCATTATATTTGTTCAGTGCGGACTTGGAAAAAGTTGGGGTATTAAGCCGTTCTTAATCAAATGAACTGCTCTGATTGATGCTGAGTTGTTGGCTATATTTTAATGAGATCCACACACACTTATGACTGCATAATAGTATTAGTGACAGGCTAATTATATTCGATCAGCAGGGCTAAGCTGATTTGAAATAAAAGAATGCTGACTTCAACAGAGTTCTGGATTTTGGCCAGAATTAAAATAATAGAGCAGGTAATTGTTGTAGAACATGACCCATATGTTGGATGAAATAATAGAAATAACAGCATATGCAACTTAATTCCTAAGAGATTTGTATATCACTGATATAGCAACCTACTTATTAGCATATTACTTTTTTATATTTTAAGATAGCTGTTTTTCTATTCAGATTTCAAGTCATGTAGATTTAGCCAAGTCCTGCCCTTTAATAGCATTACATTGATTTGAGGCATCACATGATGGGGAACGGCTCAAAGCAATCTTTTATTTATGCTGTGAGAGACTTTGTGCATGGAAAGGTACAGAATGACAGCTTTGCTTATAAGCAGTGGCTTTTTAAACACATTTCATTAAATATGTCTGAAAGTCACTACTCTCCAGGATGGTGGTTAAGCACTTTCCATGAAAGGTGGAGTTAGTGGAGTTGGTTTTATGATTTTCCTAGTTTTTAAGCTAAATGGAAATAATTTGTGTGATTTTTATTGCTTTTCTGTGTAAATGTAAAAGAAAATGGAAGATCTAAGTTATTTCTAAACTTGAATGTAACTATTTTATTGATGTATTTTCTACATTGTTTAAAATTACACGTGATATATAGGTCTTTTTAATGGACTTTCCCTTATCTTTGGTTTCAATTTTAAACTTAATGTCCATGTAAAACTTCTCCAATAAGCAGCCAAAAAAAGATAAGCATAATAAAAACATGTTCTTTAGTACTTGGAATTGCTGAATAACTGTATTTGTTTTACTGAGAGGAGAGCATGGCTATTGAAGAATAATGTGCTGTGACAAAATATTCAATCTGAATATTGGTGGTCAGAACTACAACCTATATAAAGCAACATTTCATTTCCTGTATGAAGAGTGACAAAGTGTCTATTACTCATTATATATAGAAAAATAAGATACAGGTAGTCCTTGACTAATGACCATTTGTTTAACAACTGTTCAAAGTTACAACAGCCCTGAAAAAAGCGACTTATGACCAGTCCTTGCACTTAAGACTGTTGCAGTGTCCCTCCAGTCATGTGATCAAAATTTGGGCGCTTGGCAACTGGCATGTATTTACGATGGTTGCAGCATCCTGGTGTCATGTCATCACCATTTGTGACCTTCCCAGGGGGCTTCCGACAAGCAAAGTCAACAGGGAAAGCCGGATTCGCTTAACGATTGCAGCAATTCACTTAACGACCGTGGAAAAGTCATAAAATCGAGCACAACTCACTTAATGACTGCACTGCTTAGTGACAGATGTTCCTGTCCTAATTGTGATTGTAAGACAAGGACTACCTGTAGTCTTCTCATTCTGTTATGTACAGCACCATCAGCCTACATGAGTATTCTTGCTGGGCATGATGTGCCCAGCATGTCTGCAGAGCAAAAGGTCAAGAAAGACTATGACAAGGTATGTTGGATCACACAAAACTTGGTTCTATTCATTTTTTTTTAAGTTGATCTTAATTCCATCAGCCATAAAACATGCTAATCTCTCCACACGGTTTCTGTGAAGATAGTTCACATATTATACAATTAAGTTCAGTCTAATTGTGAAGTATAAATGCATTTGATTTGGTTCTATTCATTTTTTTTTAAGTTGATCTTAATTCCATCAGCCATAAAACATGCTAATCTCTCCACACGGTTTCTGTGAAGATAGTTCACATATTATACAATTAAGTTCAGTCTAATTGTGAAGTATAAATGCATTTGATACACAGTATACTAGTACGGTTGTCATAAATTTTCTGGTATTGTGCATGTGTAAAAATGTCAAGATAGCAAAACATGTTTGCCATTGTGTCTTTGACCCAAGGAGACTGTTCCTCTTCTCTGTAATGCATTTAAACTTTCAAGATGCACATGATAAAATGGTGTCATTGGCTGAGATAACATGCTGGTGTAATTGATAAATGGTTACTTACTTACCAAAGTGACCTTACAGGAATATATCTGCCGGGAAATGTTTTTTCCAGTAGTGGAGAAAACCAACATCCACTGGAACTTTCCTTCCAGAGAAAGGGGACGGTGATTTTTGTTACTTTCTCTTCATCCTTGTCCCCATAACACTCCTCAGACACCATTCTGGAGAGTTCGTTTTTTTAAAAAAAAGTTTTCTGGAGCATGGAGAGCTGCAGGGAGAGAATAAAGGGATATAAATTCTGCCTCTCCTCCCATTAGGCCAATTGAATAACTCATGGGATTTTATTCTGCGCAGCTCTGGATCAGCCCCGTTTATTTATGTTGGACTGACTTTATCAAATCCTTTGAGGAGTGATGTAATACTGGCTGAGAAAACCCAGGAGTTGTCTTTCAGAACTCCTCTAAATCCAAACATGTACCCCAGTGCTCATCTAACAACAAAATTTTGAGGGTCAATCTAGTGGAGTGGTTAGCATAACATACAGGATTAAGGTGGGGAGATGCATGATCAGTCATGAAACTCACTGGGTGGCCATATATAGTTTCCCACCACATATGTTTTCTTAAAAAGGCCACATATCAAATGGTCTCATACTTCATGCTGGGCAAAGTTAAATAAACCATTTTGTACTAACCATAATGTGTGACCTCAGACACTTCTCATGTGGTTGTTAGGAGGCCAACAGTCTGTAAATTGCAGGGAAATGAAAGAAAATAGGGTGTCCAGAATTACATAAACCAAAATCATAGCCTATCTAAAATAGCACCAATTATTCAGAAAATAGACTTGCCCGTCACAATTAAATTGCTTTTGGATTGCTTCACCCTTGGTTGTGGAATGCACTCCCAAAATGTATCAGGGATTAGTCTTTTTAGAGGCCTTCAAAGAACCAATTTGGCCGTTAATAACTTTTAATTATTCAAAATAGTTTTAATGAGTTTTTAAAATTACTCTGTTTATGTTAATGCATTTAAGTTTTAATGTAAACTGCCCTAAACTGTTTAGGAAGAGCAGTACCAAAATTAAATATATAATTAATGTATCGGGTTTCTTAAATTAAGTTTCTCTATAGTTTAAATCTGTGGTCTCCAGTCGTGGCTGAATCATAGCTTCCAGCAGGTATAGCCAGCATTACCAGTAATGAAGCATGCTTGTAGCTGTGGTACAGCCCAGTGGGCAGAGCCAAAATTGATTCCTTTCCATGTTTAAGTAATTTGATTTATTAAAAATAACACACTAATGGTTTTGAGGGGGAATAAAGGAAAAACTGATCCAGCCTACAGTTTGATCCCAATATTACCTTTTAATTTTTAGAAAAGGCTGATTTTTATCAAGCTATTTTATCTGAGAGGTGTAGGGAAATAATGGAGCAATTCTTGTACAACAAGGTTTATAACTGGCATCCTTTCCTAGTATTAAGAGCTCTGAAACCCTCTGAGTAATGGAGGAACTGGGTAGTGTAAAGGATGGTCTTTCTTTTTTAAAAAACACATTATGCTTTAAATATTGTTTTTAATGAATTGACCCATTGTATGTGAGAGCAGTTTGTCCTTCACGTTTGGTGCCTAATGTAGAACCATATAGCTTCAGAAGAGAGTCGTAATGGTAATGTCTGCCTTTTATGGGCTCCTTAATCGAGTTCTCTGGTCTATTTCCTCTTTTCAATCCCATCCTTTATAAAAAAAAAAAAGCGGGGGGGGGATAAAGTACCATTTCTATTTTGCACCAATTATGTTCTTCACATTGAATATTATGTTTTTAGAGAAATGCTTAGGAGATCATTGCACATAAATGCAGCAATTTTATCAAATGCTTAAAGATGCCTCTTTGAAATGAAACAGTTGACTCTTAGCATCTAAGTTTTGTTTGTTGCCATGGATGCCTCTGTGGATGACCAGGTTTAACTCAGATGATTTAGACACCGCCGATCTCAGGGTAGATATAAGTAATTCACTTCACCAGTGCTCATGGCATCTGCATTCATTTTCCGTATTCCTATATTGAATCTGCATTTTTTAAATGCTCAAAACCTGTTGTTGGTTTTCAGATTAAGTTGGGTTCATGTATCATTAATAAGCTATGTGATTTCTTGAATACTGTGTAATTTGTGGTGTCATACCAGGTACACAGCCAATTATGGCTTAGGCAACAAACCATGGCATAGCACAGGAGTGGCCAGCTTCTATTGACTTGAGGTTTGAATCAGAGCATATTGCAGGCTAGATGTAATGGTATGTGGGAATGACCTTGGGAGACAGAGCAACGCAAGGCAACCAAGGGAACAGTCAGATAAAAGGCAGCTTAGTCCACAGCAGGAATGTGGGTGGGGCAACAGACCCTTCCTAGTTTTTGGGCTGTAAAGGGGATGGGGGAAGAAAAGTACTTTCAGACTTGCAAGACTGATGTCAGCCTTACCAGGTAGACCAGACAGAAAACATGACCAGATGAGCTAATTCTACTTTACTGTAAGTTACATTAACAGAATCTTACAAGTCTGAAACTACTTATCTCCCCCTTGCACTGATGACAGGAGTGTAATGGCATGTGAGAATGACCTTGGGAGACAGGAGGAAGAGCTGCAGAATAGACAATCATTATGCAAGAGGTATCTCAGCCTGCAGAAACAAAAGGGGTGTGGGAAGCATTTCAGAAGGGATCCTCCCTAGTTTTCTGGAAATTAAAAGGAGGGGAGAAATGCTTTCAGACTTGCAAGATTCTGTTACTGTAACCTTACGGTACCATAAAGGTAGTGTCAGTACTCATGGTTTGTGCTTCTTGTCTGGACTATTCAAAGGGCTGACAGGAGTAGGCAACAAAGCACTTTCCAAAATAAGTTAGACTTCAATTCCTGTCAGTCCCAACCAAGGGCTACGGGGGTAGAGTCTCGTACCCCAATTTTAGGGCTTTGTGAGAAATGTAGATGGCCATGCCCACCAGTGCTTGCTGGAGTATTCCTTTGGGAATCCATTGCTGTAGGAAGTATATTATGTGAGCAGGGGATACTTTGCTGATGGCTTCCTCAGGCCTGGGGCAGGACTTGAAAACAGTTGATTTCTGCTCGGTACCTCTTCTGCTCAGGAGAAAAATCCCTGGCATCTCAACAAGATCAGGGAGCAGATGATGGCCAAGATCTCTCATACTCTTTAGAGAGCAACTGCAAGCCAGAATAGAAAAGGAGAGAGGCAGCTTCCTCATTGTGTTTTGTCTTGGATTTTGTACAACTTACTTTTTATTGTTTGTTCTCACCTTCCGAGATATGAATACTCAGAAGACAAATCTATATTTTGCTGATGTTTTACACATTTGTATAGATATAAGCAAACTTTCCCATTCTGCCTTTACTTGACCAACATTCCTTTCTCAGTTGTGGACCTCAAGTCATCTAATTCATGATATTTAAGCCTCCTCTGTATTGTTTTGAGCTGGGTCTTCTTTCACTGATCTCAAATCTGCTTACCCTCTTAACTAATTTGTATCCAGAATACTGAAGGGTTTTTTGAGAGGTAGGGAAGCAATATTATCTAAATCTAACTTGGTTATTCTGTTTCCCACCACCCTTCTGCTTTCTTTTTAAGCAAACTTGTATAAATGTGTACATTGTAGTCTCAGCTATGATGATCAATTGAAAAAAAGATTGAGGATTCTCCTCCTCCTGCACAAAAGCACAAAACTCTTTCTTTGCCTCTGGTCTTCCTAATGACCTTCATTAACTTGTATAATCTTTTGTCAGTGATTGACTGACATTCTTTATTTAGTGGTGGTGAACATTTGCCTCCATGATTTGGAATAAAGTCTTCAGTGGACTATTGTGACAAATTGGCTGAGTAACATCTATTCCAGAAATAAAAGTTGCATTGCTCAATTGCAGAACAGACACATGCTGAAAACGTGATTTATTGACCTATAACTGGGCCGTTGCATTAATTTATTACTGTTGATTAGATGGCTTGGATAATCTTTAACCCATTAGCTACATTTAACAATAGGAACATATAAATGCATAATACTAATAGGGCTGTGCACCTGTCTTTTTCTGGGCTTGTATACCAGTTGCAGAAGAGTACCACACAATCCCAAGAAAAAGTGCAGCAACTGTAGAAAAGTTCAGTGTGTATGCCCCTGGATGCTCCAAAATCCCTTTTTGTTTTTGCATCTGAAGTACTTCACAGCCCTAAATGATAATAATCCAATATATGACTGTTGTAGCTTTAAATATCTTAGGTACTGGCTGAAATATAGGCAAGCTAGCTATAATCTTTCTACATCTATAATTGTGTGTGTGTGTGTGTGTGTATCATATACATATAGTTTTCAGGTCAGTCTTGACTCCTGGCAATTGCCTGGACAAGTCCCTGCAGTTCTCATATTCAATATTTAAGTAATAATAATAGATACTTTTTTCAAAATCTCACATAGGAAACATTGCTGAGTAACTGAGGAAGTTCTCATATATAAGTGTCTGGAAAAACAGTGTTTTCACACAGAGGGAAATTCCCTTTATTTATACATAGCAAAATATAAAAACTGAGAAGAGGAAATGCAAGCATTATCTTAAAAATAATCCTACCCAAGCAGTTTGAGAACACTGTTCTGTCCTGTTCTGAAAACCTTCTGGAGGTTGGGCACCAGGCATTTCTGTACCTTTTCTGGGTTTCAGAACTACCCACCAGCAAATTGTCTTTCTAAAATAGGAAAATAACTTGGAAAGAAATTCTGTTCTACAAAAGGACATAATTTTGGTGGGAAAAAAAATCTTCAGCCTTTGAAGGCTTTTTTTTAAGCTCAGCAAATGGGATTTGATTTGCAAATGGGTATGATATTCCTCTCTTGAAAACTGAGCTTTGGATGAGACTCAAGGGCAGGTGATAGGAAGTGGCCACACCATTCATGACTCCGACTAAGCCGTGCATGAAATAATGGAAAACCAGGCCTTACTACATCTTTTTGTTCCCAGTGCTTACACAATAGGTAGCTCAATGTGACTCTGAGCTCACCCGGATTCACAGATGTTACTGCAAACATTTTAAACAGGATTCTTTATTGAACAATTTAGCCATGCACTTGCTAATACTGGCAGCATATATATTCCCCTTTCTGTTAGTGCTTACCTTAATAATAATGCACACATTGAATTATGCAAATAATGCCTTTGCCTGAGTTATTGTTTTCAACTTTGGGCTGCAGAAAACTTCAACACATTCCATCTTT